AACACAATGCGTTTCGCCCTTAGGCTTTATCAAGTGGAGATCAGAGAGTGCATCCTGTTACATACTGGTATATATAGGGAGTGTGCATATTTAAAAAAGGCGTCAAAATGACGTCATAAGTTTTTGTTACTTACAAAAATACTAAATTTTACATGCATAAGTAAGTACATACATATATATAAAACATGTGAGGGTTATAATTTTAAAACAAAGCTTTATGCTAAAGATAATGACACCCCATAGATACTAAATATAAGATAACAGCTATCATTAGCATAACGCTTTGTTTTAAAATTATAACCATCATCTGTACGATAAGAAAATGAAGAATCAGAAAATTAGAGTGCATAGTACCCATTGCTGTGCCTCAGTTATGAGCATTTATGTACGCCATCCATAGCTCCCTGACCCTGGTGAATTTGGGTTCTGAGTCTCTCACCTTGGCGATGAGTTCGTCCATTAGGTGGTTGTCCCCAATTTTCCCTATCACCTCCTGCCTGGAGGGGACTTCTACGTTAAGCCACGCCGCTGCCAAGGCTCTCAGTCACTAATCTCCTTCCAGAAATTGTGCAATTTGGGGCAATCCCACCACATGTGGAAGTACGTCCCCTTGTAGCCGCATAGTCTCCAACATAAGTCAGTAGGGTTGCGACCCAACCTATGTAAGAAAACTGGGGTGACATGGAATCTGAACATTATCTTTGTACGCATACCGAGATTTGGGATGCTGCTTCCCAGATTTCCTGCCACTCAATCCCTTCCAGTTTGTCCCCTTTATCTACCTCCTATTTGTCTATATAGTTCATAGTACCCCATACCAAAGGTTCTTCATTAAGGTGTGTGTATAGAAGGGAAATTAGACTTTACGGTAGTGTCCTTCATTACAGAGGTGTTCAAATGACGTGGGGGTCAGTGTTACTGTTTTTCTAACCTCGGCAGAAAGGGCAAAGTCACATACGTGCATGTAATGGAAGAAGTCACGGTTGAAGTTGAGTATCGATGGGCAGTTCATCCGCAATAAAGCCCGGGAGGGCCTGTCTAGCCACATGTACAGGTTGGGGATATCGTATTTCATTAGTCCCGCTTCTATGTCTGCCCATCTGTGTTCCCCTGGGGGTGCCTGCCACAGCATCAGCTGAAAAAGTTGTGCTGTGTAGTAGTACAGGAGGAGATTCGATAGGCCCAGTTCTCTTCTGTCTTTTGGGCGGTATAATAGGCGTCTTGCCAGTTTATGTCGTTTTTGCTGCCAAATGAAGGCGTCTATTGTAGTCTGTAGGGAAGCTAGATCTGCTTTGGTCACTTTAATGGGGAGTGCCTGGAACAGGAATCTAAGTAAAATATAAATTTTTATGCAATGTATACATCCTATCCATGAGATAGGTTTTTCCTGCCATTTCTCTATTTCTAGCTTCAATGTCTGTAAGAGGGGATTGTAATTATTTGCATGTAGTTGAGAGTTTGTCTTTCCTATGATGACTCCTAAGTATCTAAAGCACTTTTTAAGGAATATGTTGTGGGTTGACATCAGTTGGGCTACCTCCGAGTCCAGTATGTAAAAGGGTAACACACAGGATTTCTCATAGTTGATTTTGAAGCCTGAGACTTCGCTAAAATAATTTAGTAGCCGGAGTAGGGGTGGTTTTAACTCTTTTTAAGGGGGCAAGACGAGGCAGGGGTGCCTAAACTACATTTTTAACTTGATCTAATGTTTTTGGGGGGATTTTCTTCCTATGCTAGACAAAGGAAACCAATATTGATCATACTTGATTATTCTCAGACTTAATTGTTATCCGGTGAATTTGTTTGTTTGTTATTTTTTTTATTACATTAAATAAGAATATACTGGCTCCAACTGTTAGTCTTGTAACTGATATATCGCTTGCTGCTAGCAATCATCAAAACTGGATAAACATTTTCTGGAAACTTATATTTGAGGACACAGTTCTGTTCTTGGAATTCGTTTTTTGTTGACACAGGTCCAATGAATCTGCATCTCCAGTAAAAAAAGATTATGGCAATTATATACAGGCGAGAGTTAAATCTTTACCAATTAAACACTATTTCATAAAGTTCTCAGTTGCTCACATGTGAAATCTGTATTTCTATGGTACACAACAAATTGTTAGTTAAGAAGTCAGTTTTTGTCCGAATGCACATTATTCCTTTAGATTGTAAGCTCACCAGCCATCTTGAATAGGATAAGACTTTGTGTGAATGACTAAACTTAAAGGATTACTCCAACCACCATGACCACTTCTGTTTTCAGATATGGTATGTGCAGCTACAGAGTATGCTGCTCTTTTGTACCGGTTGAAAGTTGCACAACCGACACAAACAACTTGGCCAACCTGGACCTCTTTTTCGGTGCTGCTTAATGTCAGTTCTGTGCAAAAATTACCTCTGTCATCAGCTTGCACAGTAATGCTAGCAACAGACATAATGAGCTTCTAACGTGCAGAGCTGCATGCAAGCGGACGTCTTGATCTTTAATCTCACCCACTCCACCTCTCTGTATTGATATCATTTTTGTAAAATCCCTTCCCTATCTCTCCTGTTCATCCCCTCCCCTTCCTAACTCGCCCAGAGCAGGCGCTCTGAGCCAGAAAACGGTCCAATCAAATAGTTATCTCTGAGTTAAGATATTTAAGAAAGTAGTGTTTTGTACATTTGAGTGTATCACAGAGCTCCACGGCAATACAATTCACAGTAGTGTGTGTTTACAAGTGTATCTCAAACTCCACAACTAGGAAAGTCAGTAATACACAAGATGTTTTAATAAATTACATCAGGAAAACTCACCATTATATTCAATTAATAGATTTTTTTAATTTCCACCGCGTTGCAACATATTGCTATGTCCCTTCTGACTTTGTGATCTGGGTACTTCTTTGAGTTAAGAAGAGGTTAACTCCTCATACTTGAATCACACCCATCCAATCTATTTTTGGCTATATTTTCAGCTTCCACTATTTTTTTGTTTTGTCCTAGAAATTTATAAATTCCATTCCAGTGACTTCAAATAAATCTGCTGATGTTCGATCATATGATAAGCTGTAATTCACATCAAGCCAGCTGATGAACATAGCATTCTAAAATGTTTTCCTGTGCTTTAACAAAATAGATATTTTATATATAGTTATAATTTATATTGATAAAGTTATATCAGCTTCCAAACCTCATTCTCAGTTTTCATTCTTTTCTGTAATGGAAATCCTATTTCTACTTTCTAGGCGTCAAAGTCTGTTAGCAAAACTTTTTTGTCTGCGAAGGAAATTGATGGATATCTCCATGTTATTTATTTTTCATGTTCCAGCAGTTATTTTGCATTTTTAAACATTCTATGTTGGTGATTTTTAGATAAATGTGGATTCTTCACATTCTCATTTCCGTGTTGCAAACCCTCAGTAAATAAAATATTCAAGCATTAAATATCAATGAATTGCATCTACAATACTATAATATTTTTTTTGTAAATATGATCTATATTTGTATTTTGCGTATGAATTTGAGACTCGCAGTTCTCCGTATTCGCATCACCTGAGCTCGTTGTTTCGATGCATTGTTGGGCTCGCAGGCCCATCATGGCATTATTAGTCAGCATTGAGACTTGCAGGTCTCCGTGTATATTCATTTAACACATTTGTTGGGTTCGTTGAGACTTGTATGAGGTTGGGCTCGCAGGCCCGCAATGTTGTCGGACACGCAGGTCCCTTACATTTCGTATTCTTTTGTTATGACTCATGTCCTTCGTGTTGTGTTTAGGTTTGTTTCGGTGTCTCATTTTCTTGTCCGTTTTCTGCTCTATATCTATTACCGTGTGTGTTGTGGTGTGTTGATATTCTGTTTGTCGTGGTCTAATTTGGGTGTGTTTGATTGTTCGTGTTTTATCTAATTATATTGCATGATCGCTTTAGTGGTTGATGTAGGGTGCTTCTATGTGTATGCTGTATTCGGTTTATTCAAAGGGTTCAGGTGGTGCTTTTTGTTTTCCTGGTTTGTGGTGTCTGTTTCTTGATTCGCATTGGAGCTCAAGGGGGGGTTCGACATCGGGCCGTCAGCCCTATGTCGGTCTCGGTCTTGGGAAGGGGCAGGGGTGGGGTCGGGGCTCTGGGGTGGTATTGCCCTTGATCCTCAGTGTAAAAGCGTCTTTAGTGGTCTCAAGTATCCACTGTGTCCAAGTCTCTGCGTAGGTCTGTGGCGTGGCTGTGGCCGTCATGGTCAGGTCTTCTATTGCCCTAAGGTCTTCCATTTGATTGAACCATGTAGCTAGCGGGGGTGTTATCTTTTGTTTCCAATATTGGGGGAGTACCTGTTTAGCTACGTTCAGTATCCTAATTGTCATGGATTTCTTGTATTTAGATCTAGGTACTGTGGTGTGGTGTAGGAGCATTGCCACCGGTTCCAGGGGGGGTGGTGCATCTGAGAATATTTTCAGTATGTCGTGTATGCCCTTCCAATAAGGTCTAATTACCTCACATTCCCACCATATGTGTATCGCAGTTCCCACCTCTCTTTCGCACCTCCAGCATAGGTTGGTGTGTTTTGGGTCGATGTTATGTAGTAGATGCGGGGTTCGGTACCAGTTTGCCAGGATTTTAAAGGCCGTCTCTTGTGTCTTACTGTATGTCAAGCAGTGGTGGGTGAGGTAGCATATTTGCTCCCACTCCGCCTCGGTAAATGACCTATCCAGTGCTGTTTCCCATTTTCCCTCAAAGAGAGGTTTGTCAGTAGGTCTCCGTCTGCAGCATCGTGAATAAGAAAGAGATTCCGTGCGGTAGTGGGTCTGGATTGTTGCATAGTGTTTCGAATGTCGTGCGGTTCTTAGTGAATGCGGTCCCCTGCGGTAGGGTGTGTACGAAAGTGGAGAGTTGTGCATGTTTGAATCTGTGTAGGAATGTGGGTGTAGTGTCTCCTAGCATGTCCGCCAGTGGTTTACACTTGCCGTTGGAAATTATGTGGTGCAGTCTCGGGGTCGGGAGGATCCCCTGGAACGCCTTTGGGTCTAGGCCTGGTGGAAAGTCGGTGTTGTGTGTCAGTGGTGTTAGGGGGAGGGGTATGGTGCTAAGCCGTTTGCCTTCGATGTCCTGCGCCACACGTTCATGGTGTATTCGGTGTATGGGGACATTTCCCTGTGTCCCGGATCTCTCCGGCCCCAGGGTATAACTGAAAGCGGCACGCCCGCCTCTGTCTCCTCTGCTACTTTCCAGAGTTTATGGACCCCACCCTTCGTCCACTCCATCATCCTTTGGAGATGCGTGGCGGTGTAGTACAGGCGAAAGTCTGGTAGGGCCAGGCCTCCTCTGTTTTTGGGTTGCATGAGTGTATTAGCTTTCATCCTGGGTCGCTTAGTTGATCGTGGCTGTTCTAAGTGATTTGAAGAATGCCCCTGGGATTTTGATTGGGATGGTCTGAAATAGGTATAATAGTCGGGGGAGAAAATTCATCTTTATGACCTGTATCCTCCCTATGATATGTGCGAGTGTGCCCAGTCCTTCATGTCCTTTTGGAATGTGTTGAGTGTGGTGGCGAAGTTCGCTTGAAAGAGGTCTCTGCTCTCTCTGGTTAGCCAGGTTCCTAGGTATCTGATCTTGTGGTCAGCCCATTGGAATGAGAAGCTCTGGCGCAGGGGGTCCGCGCGTCTGTTCGGCACGTTGACATTCAGGATATGGGATTTAGTGTAGTTTATTTTAAGGTTGGAGATCTCTCCAAACTCTTTAAAAGTGTGTAGGATGTTGGGGAGGGATATTTCCGGTTTGGTGACGAAGAAGAGGAGATCGTCCGCGAAGGCGGCTACTTTATGTTGAACCTCATCTGTCATGATCCCTGTGATGTCTCTGTTTTGTCTGATGTGTGTCAGGAATGGTTCCAGGGCAAGGACGAACAGTAGGGGGGATAGTAGGCAGCCCTGTCTGGTGCCGTTTTGTATTGTGAATTCTGTGGTCAGTGCCCCATTGACAAGGACATGGGCTGTCGGCGTGTGGTATAGAGCTTCTATCCACCTCCTCATGTACGGTCCCAGTCCCGTGTGTGTTAAGGTGTCAAAGAGGTACGTCCAACCCACTCTGTCGAAGGCCTTCTCCGCGTCCGTGGATAGCAGGAGAAGGCCCCCTGCTTTCCCCCCTTTGCCGTGCATTAGGGTGAGTGCTCGGATAGTTATGTCCCTAGCCTCGCGGCCCATTATGAACCTGACCTGGTCCGGGTGAACCAGCGTGGGGATGTGCGCCCGGATCCTTGTTTCCAGGATTTTTGCGAGGAGTTTAACATCGCATTTGATGAGGGAAATTGGCCTATAGTTCCCACAGTGTTCTCTGTCTCTGCCCTCTTTGGGGAGTATGGTGATGTGTGCTGTCAGGGCCTGCTTGGGGATGTCGTGGCCTTCCTTCACCGCGTTGAAGGATTCCACCAGCGGCTGGTACAGGGTGTCTGCAAAGGTTTTGTAGTATTTCAGTGGGAGGCCGTCTGGGCCGGGGCTCTTGCCCGGTTTTGTTTGTTTTATTGCTAGTGTCAGTTCTTCCAGTGTTATTGGTTCGTCTAGGAGTGTTGACGTTTCGCTGTCAAGGGTCGGGGATGGGTGGTCAATGAGGTATGCGTGTATTTGTTCTTGCAGCCTTGTTTTTGCCGTCTCGGTATGCGGTTGCTGGAGGGAGTAGAGGTCAGAGTAGTATGTTCGTATTGCAGTCAGGATGTGGGTCGGGAGGCGGAGTAGTGTGCCTCGTGTGTCTCTTATTTTGTCTATGTAGGTTAGCTGCCTTTTTTTAGCTAGCATCCTGGCCAGTAGTTTGCCACTCTTGTTCCCGTGTAGGGAGAAGAATGCTTTGTGTCTGGTTGCGTCTCTGTGGAACTTAGAGTGAAGTAACGAGGTTAAGTCTCGTCTTAGCTGTAGAAGTCGCGTCTGGTGTGTGTGGTGTGCGTTTGTTGAGGTATTCCTCGAGTTGGATGTCTGTCAGGGCTTCGGATTGTTTCTTAAGTGTGGCCCCTTGTTGTATGAAGTATCCCCTTATCACACTTTTGTGGGCTTCCCATCTGATCGTCGGGGGTGTCTGTCCTGGGGGATTGTCCATGAAGTAGTCCCTAAGTTTCTCCCCTATGTGGTTCGTTAGGTCAGGTCTGGCTAGGAGATATTCGTTGAGTCTCCATTTAGTTATCGTGGGTCGGTATAGCGGGGATTTGAGGTGCAGGGTAACAGGTGCGTGGTCCGACCACGACGCCACTCCTATGGTCGCGTCCACCACTAAGGAGAGGTCTTGCTGTGTGGTGTATAGGTGGTCTATTCTGGTGTATGTTTGGTGCGGGTGGGAAAAGAATATGTAGTTCTTTTCATCTGGGTGGTGGGCTCTCCAACAGTCTACTAGTTGGTGCTTTCGTATGAGTGTCTTGAGGGATTGTAGCTGTTGTGGTGGAGTATGAGATGAGCCGGTGGAGCAATCCCAGGTTGAGTCTAGTGCTACGTTGAAGTCACCCCCAAGTATCAGGGCCCCTTCGGCAAAGGCCTGTAGTTTGTTTAGAGTTCGGAGAAGGAAGCAGTGTTGTTGTCTGTTAAGGAACAGGAATCTGCCCTCCTCGTCTGTTAGGCACCCCCCCTCCTGGAACGGCACCCGCCTGCTTATCAGTATGGCGGTCCCCCTAGATTTCCCCCCATGGTAATCGCTGAAGTACCCTTGCGGGAAGTGTTGGTTGGATAGATTGGGTCTGTCTCCTTTCTTAAAATGTGTCTCTTGGATCATGACTATTGAGGCTTTGTGAGCGTGGAACTCCCTGAGGGCCCCAGATCTTTTCTCTGGCTTGTTCAGTCCCCTGGCGTTGATGGTCATGACAGTGAGTTGGGCAGGTGTCAGCGCCATGGTTAGCTGGGGTGGGTGGGGTATTGTCTCCCGCGGTTCTCCCTGTCTGTTATAGGAGGGCAAGGGAGAAGGGAAGGGAGAAAAAGAAAAAGAGGGGAGGGGGGGATTTACGTAGTAAGGACGGGAGCATGGGGGGGGAGGGGTGTTGTAAGGGTAGGGGGAGTTGGGGTCTCGTCACCGTTTGGTGGCGGTTGGGTGTAGCGACCCAGGATGAAAGTTAATACACTCATGCAACCCAAAAACAGAGGAGGCCTGGCCCTACCAGACTTTCGCCTGTACTACACCGCCACGCATCTCCAAAGGATGATGGAGTGGACGAAGAGTGGGGTCCATAAACTCTGGAAAGTAGCAGAGGAGACAGAGGCGGGCGTGCCGCTTTCAGTTATACCCTGGGGCCAGAGAGATCCGGGACATAGGGAAATGTCCCCATACACCGAATACACCATGAACGTGTGGCGCAGGACATCGAAGGCAAACGGCTTAGCACATACCCCTCCCCCTAACACCACTGACACACAACACCGACTTTCCACCAGGCCTAGACCCAAAGGCGTTCCAGGGGATCCTCCCGACCCCGAGACTGCACCACATAATTTCCAACGGCAAGTGTAAACCACTGGCGGACATGCTAGGAGACACTACACCCACATTCCTACACAGATTCAAACATGCACAACTCTCCACTTTCGTACACACCCTACCGCAGGGGACCGCATTCACTAAGAACCGCACGACATTCGAAACACTATGCAACAATCCAGACCCACTACCGCACGGAATCTCTTTCTTATTCACGATGCTGCAGACGGAGACCTACTGACAAACCTCTCTTTGAGGGAAAATGGGAAACAGCACTGGATAGGTCATTTACCGAGGCGGAGTAGGAGCAAATATGCTACCTCACCCACCACTGCTTGACATACAGTAAGACACAAGAGACGGCCTTTAAAATCCTGGCAAACTGGTACCGAACCCCGCATCTACTACATAACATCGACCCAAAACACACCAACCTATGCTGGAGGTGCAAAAGAGAGGTGGGAACTGCGATACACATATGGTGGGAATGTGAGGTAATTAGACCTTATTGGAAGGGCATACACGACATACTGAAAATATTCTCAGATGCACCACCCCCCCTGGAACCGGTGGCAATGCTCCTACACCACACCACAGTACCTAGATCTAAATACAAGAAATCCATGACAATTAGGATACTGAACGTAGCTAAACAGGTACTCCCCCAATATTGGAAACAAAAGATAACACACCCGCTAGCTACATGGTTCAATCAAATGGAAGACCTTAGGGCAATAGAAGACCTGACCATGACGGCCACAGCCACGCCACAGACCTACGCAGAGACTTGGACACAGTGGATACTTGAGACCACTAAAGACGCTTTTACACTGAGGATCAAGGGCAATACCACCCCAGAGCCCCGACCCCACCCCTGCCCCTTCCTAAGACCGAGACCGACATAGGGCTGACGGCCCGATGTCGAACCCCCCCTTGAGCTCCAATGCGAATCAAGAAACAGACACCACAAACCAGCAAAACAAAAAGCACCACCTGAACCCTTTGAATAAACCGAATACAGCATACACATAGAAGCACCCTACATCAACCACTAAAGCGATCATGCAATATAATTAGATAAAACACGAACATCGAAGGCAAACGGCTTAGCACATACCCCTCCCCCTAACACCACTGACACACAACACCGACCTTCCACCAGGCCTAGACCCAAAGGCGTTCCAGGGGATCCTCCCGACCCCGAGACTGCACCACATAATTTCCAACGGCAAGTGTAAACCACTGGCGGACATGCTAGGAGACACTACACCTACATTCCTACACACATTCAAACATGCACAACTCTCCACTTTCGTACACACCCTACCGCAGGGGACCGCACTAAGAACCGCACGACATTCGAAACACTATGCAACAATCCAGACCCACTACCGCACGGAATCTCTTTCTTATTCACGATGCTGCAGACGGAGACCCCTACTGACAAACCTCTCCTTGAGGGAAAATGGGAAACAGCACTGGATAGGTCATTTACCGAGGCGGAGTGACTCCCCATTCACTAAACCGGCTTGTAAAGAAAAGTAAATTTTGTAAGCAAGTTTAGTTAATGGGGAGTCACTGATTGACTGAGTGCATCAGCTGACCACTCTCAGCCAATAAGCTATGCCCCTGCCCAGAAGCTGGAACCGCCACGGGAGGAGTGGAGACCTGCACTGGAGGCAACTTAGGGGTTAAATCGTTCGAGAACAGTTTAACCCCTTGAGGTAAGAGTGCCTCCACGGGCCTCCTGGCACCAACACAACTTAATTTAAATGAAGTTGTTTTTGTGCCTTCAGTG